GAAACTATAGGACAAAGGATCCAATTTCCACAAGAAACAAACTTCAAAGGCGGAGGGGAGAGTTGGAAGGAGAACCTATGCATTAAAAGAGACTCGAAAGACAAATGGCATATTTTTTTTAAAAACGAGCAGAGCTACAGTATGATATTTAGGAATAAACACCGGTGATAAACTCCAAAGAGGGGTACAGCAGTGATTACTATAGAGATGGGACAGCGGTTACTCTGAGGGTGTAGCAGGTTCTGTCTTGTCATGTTTGGGTCTCACAAGGGCATCTGCCTTACAATAAGTTTTAAATTACACATTTGTTTTACACTGTTTTCCATATTTTTAAATGGCTGTTTCGCCTATTTCACAGAGGGAAAGGAAGCTACATAAATATGCAGCCTCCTGAGGACAGAAACCTCATGTGTCTTCTCCATCGTCATATCCCCAGGGGCTAGACTAGCTCTTGGCACATGGTAGGGACTGAATACAAATTTACGGAATAATGAATGGATGAATGGATGAATGAGACGGTAGCATCACATACGCACCTAAGGTAATATTCTGATTACTATTATAAACTTCAGCAAGGTCATTCATTCCCAAGGAGTGGAAAATTTATCGCGTGCTACAGACGTTGCCCTCTGTAGCCGTGCTGCCTGCTGCTGCGGATGCAATGACAAATGGGAGCCTCAGAGGAACCAGGCTGGCCATTGGCAGAGTGATGACATCCAATGACGAATAAGTCTTCCCGGCTCCTCACACGTCAGCAGTTGGGCTCTGTGTGCCTCTGTCCCCCGTGGAGCTTAAGGCGATAATAGCTGCTCTAAGCGGCAGGGCTTGTGGGCATTGATCTGGCTACAGGAAGCCGCCAACTGACTTGTTCTGAAGTCGCCTTGCGGAGCCACACATGCTTTCACTTGGATTACACCTTCATAGTAACTTGGGGGAGAGTTCACAGACACTGGGTTATGTTGTGCTGCCTGACAGTAGAGCCACAAGCCCAGCAAATTAGAACACATCCTCATTATCTCACGGTTTCTTTGGATCGGGAGGCCAGACACAACTTAGTTGGGTCCTCCGCAAGGCTACAGACAAGACGTGTTCAGCTTGGGCTCACATCTGAGGGCTCCGCCGGGGGAGGCCGTCGCTATGGAGGCACAGGGAACTGAAGTCCACTAACAGCTATGTGAGCTTGGAAGAGGAACCTCCCCCAGTCCTGGCTGACACCTTGATTGCAACCTTGCAGAGGACCCAGCTCAGCTGTGCCCAGAAACCGTAAGGCCATAAATGAGTGCTGTTTTAAGCTGCTAGGTTTGGGCTAACATTGTTAGTCAGAAACAGATGACTAAAGCAGACAGTGTGGGGAGGAGAGTAAAGCCACCCCCTTTCTCCCCCAAAAAGCACATTAGCAATAATTCTCAGAGCAACCCGAAAAGTAGGAATTATTATCTCCATTTTACATAGAAAGCAACTGAGACCCAGAGATTAAGGAACTCCACCGAATAAATGGAGGAGCAGGATTCGATTTCAGCCGGGTCCTTCTAAAACCCACCCTCTTTTTGTATGTTCACAAAGCTTTAAATGAAGCTTAAAGCTCGTGATTGCTTTGTTCACCTTCATGTCAACTTTAAATAGCAGAGTAGAGATAGTCGATCTGCATTTATCCTCCCCAGTCAAGCCTACCTTTTGTACACTAACTCAACGCTGCTGTTGGGGACAGGAGCCAACTTTGGGCTGTAAACTCAGTGCAGGTCTCTTAGCATGCTCCAGGTCTGGAAGGGTGCCGGCAGAGAGAAGGGAACCGAGGAGCCCATGTGACAGTAAATCACACGGCAGCTGACCTGGACTGACTTCAGTAGTTGCTGTGAGGCCAAGGCCATGGACTGCCCCGCTGTGAAAGGTCCCGCCACCTGCAGAGATGGAGCAGGCTGTCCTTCTTCCTCCAAAGTCAGCTGTTTCTTGAGCAGACAAGGAGCCACGGCATTCACGTACTGAAGATCCAGGTTCAGAATGTTCTGTGGAAACCCTGGAGTTGGGTTTGGCTGGTGGATCTGTCCTACTAAAATTCGACGATTGACTTGAAATAGCAAAATCAGCAGAGGATCAAACTCCAGCCTCTTTGTGAAGGCAGAAGAGCTAAAATATGACCGCGAAACCTGTTGAAATCCAGCCAAGGCCCTACAACAGCCCTTAGCATGCAAACCAACAGTCGTCGAATCGTTTTCCCCCGAGCTTCACCCACTGGCAGCAACACCTCCAGCCCAAACGCATAAAGCACTTCGAGAAAACACTTGGTTAGAAATTCTAGGTATTCAGGTATAACGGAGGAGCAGAAACTGTGAATACCTAGAAGCGTCTGGGGACAGCGATGACCACATCGTCTTCAAACTCAGTCAGCAACTGCTTCTGAAGACCTGTTTAGTATTTAACCCTGTGTAGAGTTCGAAGGGACAAGGTGGGGACATGGGGAGGAACAAACAAGAGTTTCAGTCTTAGAAACATGAAGGAGGCATGGACCAAGGGGCAGAGGAAAGGGGACCCCGAATCAACCCAAGGGACTCGAGAAAAGCTTCTCGAGTGGCAGTGAGAGTTGAGGGGACTCTACAAGACCGAGGGATTTCCACGAGGGACAGGCAGGGGAGGGCAACCCAGTCAAGCGACTAGCATGAGCAAGGACAGGAGGAGGCAAGAAGCATGGCCTCCTCCCAGCGGTTCACCGTGACGGGAAGACTCTGTCTCTCCGAAGCCTCCAGAAAGCGAGCAGTGCTGCCAACGCCTTGATTTTGGCCTTCCGACCTCCAGAATCGGGAAACGGTAAATTTGTGTTGTTTTTAGCCACTGACATCTGCTGTCAACCACCAAATATTGAGCCTCTCTTTGGGGAAAAATGATGACCTTTTTTTGATATTATGTTTTAAGGATAAACCGCATTTATTTACTTTTAAGTCGGTGTTAGTTATACAAACTTGCTTTCATCACTCAGTTAAAGCAGTTCAGGGAGGGACAGGTCCATGTGGGCAGGCCCAGGAATCTGTGTTGTCATTGGCTCTCCACATAATTCTCTAATGCAAATTAATGTTTGAGAACCGCTGCCTTGGGGAATAATAGGGCGACCTTTACCCAGGTGGTTTGCTCTCTGTCACGTTTTAGAGTCCTTTCCCTTTCGACTGCTAGCGTTTGCAAGGGAAAGATGAATTAATATTATTTTTAAGAGCATATTACAATTATGAGCGCAAAACCGAGATTTAAAAAAAGATATATATAGCTCAAATTAAACCGTGATTTCTCAAGGATCCAGTTGCTCACTTCCTTCCAATAAAGCAGCTGTTCCAAGCAGACTGCGAATCGGACAATTTCCGGATATCCAGACTGAAGACATTCATCAGAGGCGCTCCTGAATGGCTGTCAAATTTGGCAAACCTAGATCAGAGGAAGAAAAGAAATGCGTAATTCGGCCACATACACAGGAAGTTCAGTATCTACTCTCAACGGCGCACGCACACGCACACGTGCACACACACAGACAGACTAGCCTGGATAATTATAACTAGGAAAATGGAGCTTCCACTTCCAGTAACTCTTTTTTTTTTGGTCTCAGCCGTTCTCGATTCTCTCCCTTTCCTGTGATTCTGCCGGTAATGTCAACTTGGTACTTCGTCAACTACCATTTCATATTGTTTTCTCTCTTCACCTCTAGAGCAGACATGCCTAGAGGGTAACAGGTGGCTTTTCCCCATATTTCTACTCCCTAAAGCTTATTAATTCAGCCGTCAACTACATAAACATGCATTCCTGAATGTAAGAGTAGAGAGAACAGACGCTATCCCATGTTGTTGCTTCGACTTCATAAATGTGAGAAATGGAGGCTGCTGATGCTAACACATTATTGGCGGTGTGGGATACTGTGAGGGCCTTCATTTGAACGGGACGCTCAGGCCAGTGGCAAACAATACAGACAGTCCCCAAGCTCGGCAGACTTTAAATTGAACGCAGAAGGCGACAGAATAAGAATTGCATTATGGTGTGAAAAGGGATGGGACCTGAGAAGTGACAGTGCCGAAGAACTGGCACCTAATTTGATCTAACTGTGCAGACAGGTATGGGAGGGCCGCCGCAGTACTGTTTGCGAACTGGATTCAGAGCTCGCCCTGCACTCTCTCAGATCATCATCCCTGATTGTTGGAATAGACTTATGAGTCATTCTTGACTCTCGATGGTAATAACCATGACTTTGGCTCATTCGCTTCTGGCTATGATTATATGTGAGGGAGAGCGTTGCAAAATATTTACTCTAAGGCACAGAGCTCTTGGCTATCAAAGAAGTCGTTTAAGAAATGATGTGGCAAATACCTTCGATTTAATGAATATTTATGGCGTATCTACTATTTTCAAGGCATTGAGATGGATACAAAAACAAAGTCAATAGTCCTGTTTTCATAGGTCTTAAATGCGAGAGTGTGTGCATATGAGGACTAACAAATGTGTACACGAATAATCAAGGGATCTTATTCTGTAAATGAAGCTGTAGATGAGAGTATCTTGGATGGAATTATCATCCTGATTATAAATGGAATTATAGATGGAATTATCTGTCCTGATCTAATTTCTTTTAGGCGGGAACAAACAAGGAGCTCAGACCAGTGCGAGGTGCCCTCAAAGCCACAGGTGACATAACCCTCGCAGGTCTGATAATGGCTCTTCCCTTCCCTTCCCATCCCATACTCCCTACCCCCTTAGTCTGACGAAACCTCACTCCTGGTGTTCCCATAGCCTCCGTGCTGACTCTATACTTGCAGTTCCCATATTCCATATTGAAATGCTACTTTGCCATGCCCTTCCACATCTTTCTAATCAGACCCTGAGATCCTGAGGCCTTGGCATTACAACCTGACACTAAGCAACAGTGTCTAACCCTTGGTGGAGACTATAAGTGTCTGCTGGGCAGGACTGGGCACCCAGTGCAACACAGAACATATAAGTTCTCAATAAAGAATTAGTAGGTTAAATGATGCCACTTTAGAAATCAAACCATCATTCCAAGATATTCATAGTTAATGTACAAAAAAATTACCTGGAGAGGTCATTGAAAATGACCTCAGAAATTTGGGTTCAGAAGGTCTGGAATCAGGTTCTATAAATCTGTTCTTTAAACAAGCTCCCTAGTTGATTCTAGATTGTTCTGTGCCATACTTTGAGAAACTGCCCTCATTACAGAGCTTCCTAACAAGATGATACTTGTCTTTCCGATTAATTGTATATGTTTATCTCAAAACCTGCCGAGAACCGATTTATACAATTCACACCATCTGACAAACAATGTCTTTACTTCCTAAAGTTGGGTTACAAAATGACTCTATGAGTGGGAATCTTTCGTTCAGATATTATTGGTTAGTCCAGTGGAGACTAGTGCGACGTCTCAGCCCATAAAGCTGCGTCCACGAGCGGACCTGTAGGTAATGCCACGTAGGGCAGAGAGCGACCTGTAGCTGGAGGGAGGGGAGTGGGTATTTTAGAAGAGCTTTAAACAAATGTCATTTGTTTACGAGGGCTAAGGAATAAGGATTTCTCAGGTGACCTCGGAGGAATAAGGATTTCTCAGGTGACCTCAGGGCCTAATTTTCTAAGTCATGGGTTAACAAAACTTAGCTATATCAATGCCTGCACCCAGAAACCCAGAGTGCCAGGAAACTAAAGGAAGCATTTCTCAAAGTGTCAGTAAATCAATATTGGCTGGAGTCCTAAACAAAATAAATCTTCACTCAGCCCCATTATGATTTCAGAATTATCACAAAGATTTCATGAATAGAGCAGCGTAGTGTCAAGAACGAAAGCCAGTAAACTAATTTGAATTACAGACCTGTCTCCAAGCTGTGGGAGGTGGCCTCTGGCAGCCATGTTGAAGAGAAGGTAATTAACACAATCCATCTTGCGGTGGATGGTGCTTTGCAGGCTGTTTGAAATTCTGTGAACCTCTCACCCAGATCCCAGTAACCCTTTGAAATATGCTGAACGGTGGCAGTCAAGAGTATAGGGGGTTCGTGAAGTGAGTGAGAGATGGCAGAGAAATCTCAGTTAGCAACTGAGATCATCTCATGGGCAGTTTGCCAGTTGTTTGGGAAACTATAAGATAAAGGCCTCTTCTAATGAGGGATGTTTCAAAGTGCAGTGCTGTGAATCTATAAAAGCCCTTTACAACTATTTAAAAATTAAAAATTCATATCATTTCCTAAGTCCTGCGGCCTAAAAAATTAATTCTATCTATTTTGGTGTAAGAATCGAGACAGGATGATGACACTATTCGATTTTAGTGTTAACAGAAAATATTCTTCAGGACAATGATCAGGACCTTTCCTGTATATAGTCATGGCCGTCATTACCAGCACAAAGCATTCTGGGATGTCAGATTATGGTCATCTTTGTCCAGACGATGACAACAGAGGCAACACTTACCGAACACAGGTGGTGGCTTCGAAATAGCTGGCAAGGCTGAGAAACAGTGACTTGACAACATCTTGGGTGAGAAAGGAAAATATTTTTAAATGACCAAAATTGGAAAGAAATACAGGAAGTAGAGAAGTCATTTGGGAAACAGTTACTTACAAGCAATAGTCACCACCAAGAAGCCTGTGAAGACACTGACTAATATTCCTCCTAGAAACCATCTGAAATGACAAGATTGATCAGGTTCAGCAAATTAATTATGCATTTCCAATATATGAGATGTTCTTTTAGGTTGACTCTAGACTTAGGATTTTAAGATTTACATGGAAACTACAGCAATAAAGATAGTGTGGTATTAGTAAAGGATAGAAATATGGATCAGTGGAAGAGAAGAGACAGCCCAGAAAAGACCCACTGATTTTTAGCCAAGATGCAAAAGCAATTCGATGGAGAAAGGATAGTCTTTTCAGCAAATGGCGTCGAAACAATCGTATATCCACAGGCAAAGAATGAGCCTCCACATGTTCAAAACACCTTAACACAAAATTTAACTCAATGAGTCATAGACTGAAATACAAACCGCAAAAGTCTAAAAGTTCTAAGAAAAAAAAGAGAAAAGCTATATGCCTACAGCTTCACAACCTTGCCCCAAAAGTGTGCTAACCTTCTGGGGTACTGCCAGTGAGTCGAGTGATTGTATTATGGGGTGGATTTTTTTTAAATGAATACCGTCTTCATTGTTTTTGTGTTCAAAATATGAATTATTGAAAGAGATTACAAATAGATACAAAGGAGGAAGGAAAATAGAATAAAAAAATCCCACTGCCCTGAAGAAGCCATTATGAATATCTAATGTCTATCCTTTCAGACATCTCTTTATATGCATTTTTAATTGAGTATTTTAATTTTAAATTATTGAACATTTATTTATAATTTAAAAAATTTACTATTTTACATTTAATTTTAAATTATGCATTTAAATTGACCTTTAACAAATATACACTAAAACATATGAAGTGTATATCTTGGGGTTTTTTTTTTTTTACATAAGCCCCTGTAATTTCTACCCAAATCAAGTATAGAATATTTCCAGCCCCGAATAAGTTTTCCTTTGTCGTCCCTTCCCCATGCTATTTCCCCGAATTAACCGCCATTCTTACATCTATAATAACTGATCCGTTTTGCCTTTTCTTGAATTTTATATATGTATGCAATCATACAGACTCTGTCATCTTTGTGTCTGTCATCTTTCACTTCCATAATATCTATGGGATTCATCCATGCTGTTGCCCAAGTGAATCGTTTTTTAACCAATTATTTACTTAAATAACTTTTTCTTTAGTATAACTTTAGGTAATGCAGAAAAATTGCAAAAACGAGTACCGAGGGTTCTCATATACCCCTCACCCAGCTTCCTCTATTATTAGCATCTTGCGTTGCATGGCACACTTGTCACAGTTAAGGAACCGACATCGGTGCGTTACTAGTAACTCAACTCCACGCTTCATTTGGACTTCAGAGTTTTCCCTAATTTATCCACGTCCCAGGATCCCATCCAAAAATACCACATTACATTTAGTCATCATGTCTCCTTAGCGTCCTCCAGGTTGTGACAATTTCTTAGACTCTCCTTGCTTTTGATGACCTTGACAGTTTTGAGGACTGGTCAGGTAATGTACAGAATGTCCCTCGCTTTGGGTTTTTCTCATGGTTACACTGGAGTTTGGAAGATCACAGAGGTACAGTTCCATTCCCATCACATCATGTCAAGGGTACATGCTGTCAACATAACTTACCCCTGTTGATGTTACTCTTGGTCATTTGAGGTCATGTTTGCCAGGTTTCCCTCTTTCTACAGTCTATTCTTTGCAAGCAAGTTTCTAATGCAGCTCACACTCAAGGCTGGGGAATTAAGCTCCCCTCTTAAGTAGGGAGTACATGGGGAAATTAACCTAAGAGGAATATTACACCAATAAATAAAAGAAAAGCTTCCATGATCACTTAAATTTGGGGTAGCCAAGTTAAATAAAGCTAAACGTGTTTCCTCACTATATTTCAGTGTACCTTTATCATGCGAAAGCACATTATGATCCTCCAGTGTGGGATATGTAATGCAGAATTTTGCAGATTTATTTTTAACCACAGGACACCCTCCCTCCCCTGTTTTTGTTCTTTTGGTCCCATTGTGATCCAAAAATACTTCTCAAACCTCATAATTATCTGGGAAGCTTGTTAAAAAAAAAAACAAAAAAAACGATTCTCAGTAGATCTAAATTAGTATCTCAAGGGATGGGATCCAGATTTTGCACTTAAAAACACAACTTCTTTCAGCGACATGAAATATTAGACCCTCAAGAGGCAGGGCTTGAGAGCAAGCAGCACTTGCTGACCAGGGGGCAAGGAGCACAAAGATTTCACTCTTCTGTTTCACTGATGCAATAAATATCGACGAGCCCCTGGCACTGGAGGTATAGTCGTGAAGGAGACACACACGTCTGAGCTCACGTTGTTCCGGGGAGAGACAGATCATTAACATTTAAACAAGTGAACACACTATAGGTCAGGGAGTGACAAGTGCTCTGAAGAAAAGTAAAGCTAGGTATGTATGACAACAAGTGGTATGCTGTTTCTACAGGGTCGTCAGGGAAGGGCTCTCTGATGACGTGACACTGGAAAAGATTCCAGA